ATTTATAGCTTTCACTCGTAACAGAAGGTAAACCTGAACCCATTAGACAATTTTAGCGATGACTCGTCTGTGTTGAATTAATTCCACACGTCATCGACCTTGTTCGAAGCTAAACCCTGTCGTTCAAAGGCGTTGGCATTGATCGTGCAATTACGTGGTGCGACTGCATCGTCTCATTAAAGTCAATTGTCACAGGTAACGAGTATTCCTGACTAGAAACGCAGCCGCGGAGCTGGTCGTGTGGCTGGCACGCGTCAACAAGGACAATTTCCGTCCCTCGTACCGGAAGTTGTGCTATGCATGGAACGTGTATGTGACTCGCAGCCTGCATTCTAAATGCAGCCGTCTCTAAATGAACGTTGAAACTTGCCATTATTTGCATGCGGAAAACGTTGGTATTTCAGTTCGGGATATTGGAACATTGGGACACTGGGAAGTTTATATGTATATTGGGATGTAGGGGTATTGGGACATAGAGATAAAGGGACGTAGGGAATATTGGGATGTAGAGATTTCGGGACGTAGGAATTTCGGGAGATAGAGATACTGGGGCGTAGGGATATTGGGGCGTAAGGATTATTGGAACGTGGCGATACCGGGACGTAGGGATTATTGGAACGTGGAGATATCGGGACATAGAGATATTTACGCGTTAGAGTGCCACGTGTGGAATTACTGAGCGTGAGAGTACCACGCGTGGACTTACTAAGCGTGAGAGTTCCACGCGTGGAATTACTGAGCGTGAGAGTACCATGCGTGGAATTAGAGAGCGTGAGAGTACCACGCGTGGAATTACTGAGCGTGAGAGTACCACGCATGGAATTACTAAGCGTGAGATTTCCACGCGTGGAATTACTAAGCGTGAGAGTACCACGCGTGGAATTACTGAGCGTGAGAGTACCACGCATGGAATTACTAAGCGTGAGAGTACCACGCGTGGAATTAGAGAGCGTGAAGAGCGTGAGAGTTCCACGCGTAGAATTACTGAGCGTGAGAGTATCACGCGTGGAATTACTAAGCGTGAGAGTACCACGCGTGGAATTACTAAGCGTGAGAGTTCCACGCGTGGAATTACTGAGCGTGAGAGTACCACGCATGGAATTACTAAGCGTGAGAGTACCACGCGTGGAATTACTAAGCGTGAGAGTACCACGCGTGGAATTACAGAGCGAGGGGCGTAGGGACATAGGGATATCAAGCATAGAGATGTGTCATTTGTAGAGGTATCGACGACTTAGAGATTTGGAGACACATGGTTCTGACAATGCAACTATCTGAGAACATAGGAATATTGCAAAATACAAATACCGAGATCCACAAATAGTATAAATCTAAGATTTAGCAACATAAAGACGTACATAAGAAGTGATATACGATCCCAAGTCTTCAAGCACCTATTTCTCAATTGAAGACACTAACTTTTCTAAAACAGACCCCCACAAATCATATCGCAGTAAAACACTTGAATCAGAATTTCTACACAATGGCAGATTTTCTGCAGCCTCGGTAGCTCTTTGCGTTCAAAGAACTGCACCCTGCGGTAAATCGTATTTTATCCAAAAGATTTACAGCGTCTCCAAAGATATCCATCTACGAATAAGCATCTCTCTTACGTTTTGACACGATAATAGTAACAATCGCTCGGCGTTTGCCTTCGCCAGTCCGGACACGCTTGCTCGCGGATCCATTAAGATCGAGATAACGTTTATTTACGTATTTCAAGATGGCGGCAGGTGGGTCGGTGTAAAAGTTAACTCGTTAGATGATATAGTGCGGTGTCGATGCTCCAGCGATGCGGGAGCAGCACCATAATGATTACCGTTTTACTGTCGCGACCGCTGATCGGTTGCCCTTTTCGCTTCCACGCACTGAATTAACGAGGAAATTCGTTTTGCGTCATTACGATATTCCATACGTCTTGTTTGATCAATTTATTGGACCATTATATATGCATTTCAAGGTACTGTACAATGACATCATGAAAACTAATGGAAGTGTTTATGAAACGCGTAATCGTATCGTGTAGGTGTAACTAGGTTTATAGATACTTCTATCGATTTTTCGCTATTAGCTTTAATTGTGCAATTTTATGAAGTCAATCGTTTAACCTATCACCGAGTTATGTCTGACAGTGTTAGAAATTCTTCGAAATGTTTCATCAGCGTCGCTAACTTCAGAAATCTGAAGACATCGCATTCCAAAGCATTGAAAACAACTAACGAGTTTTATTCGCTGAATCGAGCAAGGACCAGTTTCTCGTACGAGCATTTCTTTATTAGTTGCTGACGCGGGGGGAAACACCGCGTTAATTTTGCTTCTTAATAAAACTGTCGCATACAAAAATGCACCAGGATCCATCCGACCCGATGCATTATAGCTCCTTCGGTACGGGTCCCAGCGTATTTACGAGGAAAGATTCGTCCTCGATCGGAGGTGTTAAATGCGCCCGGTAAAAGGATCTCTTGGCTGCATTACGAAAAGGTTCGATGACCTATGACGCAGCCACCCCATACGAGAGATGGTCGTACGTTTCAAGGACAAAAGTCGACCTCCTTCGCGGTCTTTTCCTGGTTCCTGCACGGCGACCCATCTCTCCGGTTCGGGCTTAATTTAAAGCTTCTCGAAGGCTGGCGCTCACGACCTTCTTTTCTTTCACGGGATCCTCTCCGATCCGCTTTTTGCTTTTCTACCTTTACACTTCTGGGGCCCATTCTACCGGCCATCGCTGACCACCTTGAAAAAGTGCCTGACGCGAAGCTGTATATCGCGGCTGGCTAATCTAAAAATACTAAAGTCGACCTTTCCCGCGGCAAGACCGATGGCCCTGGACGACTGCTAAATCAACGGCGAGATTGAGATGCAAATGCAACCTCTCGCGGACCAGCGAAAGGGAAAGAAAGTTTATGAGATGAAGACCGAACTTACAGTGCCGGACAAAATGATAGAACACTCGGAAGAAAAAGAAATTCTCGTTGACTTGCAGATCGAATTAGTAACATGATCCTTATGAAAATATTCTCATAATTGTTCTTGTCAAAACATTTTACTAAAACCTTCGATTTGTTTGTACTTTTCTTCCCTACTTTCTCATTGTATGTCAAACTTAAAATACCTGCCTCACTCTGGGGAATACATGTATCTAATATGTCAGACGAGTGACATTATCCTCCTCAAGAATACTTGCATGTTTCTTTCTTTGTAACATGTGGATGTTTCTTTCTAAATTCATCAGAGGTCACATACGTGATCGTCATTAATTTTGTACATGCTTTCATGTATTCATTTATATAATTCTGACAGATTTAAAATTGACAAAATATAATCACACCAGAAAATAAAATATAATCTGAAAAGAAACATCCCTACAGAGACCTCTACCTAAATGATCTCCCTAAATACACAAGCAAAGCATCATTTTGTCCGGCACTGTACGGATTCGAAGCAGAAAGCAAAGAGGAATACGAAAGCCAGTAGTGGGAGGCACGATAACTGTGCAATTCGTGCAATTAACATTTATAATGTCTCCATCGTACGCCGGTGACAAGGCTGGCGATCCAGCAGCAGCGCGTAAAACGCGAAATTTAACGCCGATAATTCAATCCCGTCGCGATTGTACGCCGCCCTCGACTCGCTTTACCTCGTCGGGTCGAGACGTGTCCACACCGGCGAAATAACTTTATTGAATTTTGCGCGGTTCGCCGATCTCGCAATAATTCATGCGCGATGCGCGCGCGGAGAGTCGCGCGAGCGAATCCAACGCGCGCCCGCTCGGACCCGCCTCGTATCGCGGGACACGATCTTCCTTGGGTGAGCCACGACGGAGCGTGCCGCAGCGTGATGCTCGTACACACGCGAGCGCCTACTTCGTCCCGCTCCGCGGAAATAAGGATAAATCATGCGCTCGTATCTGCTTGTGTTCGCCTCGGTGTCATCGAAGTCCTTTCTAAAATCAACGGGCGTATCCTTGACTTCTTGATGTGCGTTTTGTGTATTTCTTGATCGTTATATAGCCATACGGTGACTACGCGCTGTGTTACCATGCGTTGTGTTACCATACTTTGTGTTGTAGTGCGTTGAAGTGGCAGGAGGTGTAGTTTGAGACGTTCGATTGACAGCAAGTTGTGTTCTCAATGCCCTGTGTTCTCTACGCGTTGTGTTCTCAACGCTGCCATCGATGCATTGTGTAGTTGATAAGATGAGTTCCCGACGCATTGTATTCTCGACGCGTTGTGTACTCGACGCACTGTGTTCTCGACGCGTTGTGTACCCTATGCGTTGTGTACTCGGCGCGTTGTGTTCCCTGCGCACTGTGTTCTCCACGCGTTGTGTTCCCTGTGCGTTGTGTACTCGGCGCACTGTGTTCTCGACGCGTTGTGTACCCTATGCGTTGTGTATTCGACGCGTTGTGTTCCCCACGCACTGCGTTCTCGACGAGTTGTTTTCCCTACGCATTGTGTTCTCGGCGCATTGTGTTCCCTATGCGTTGTGTACTCGACGCGTTGTATTCCCTATGCGTTGTGTACTCGACGCACTGTGTTCTCGACGCGTTGTGTTCCCTATGCATTGAGTTCCCTGCGCGTTGTGTTCCCTGCGCACTGTGTTCTCCACGCGTTGTGTTCCCTGTGCGTTGTGTACTCGGCGCACTGTGTTCTCGACGCGTTGTGTTCCCTATGCATTGAGTTCCCTACGCGTTGTGTTCTCTACGCATTGTGTTCTCAATGCATAGTGTAATTAACACGGTGAACCTCAGATCGATGAAATATGAATGCGCTGTGTTCTCTACGCACTATGTCCCTAACACATTGCATTCGTCATGCGTTGTGTACTTGGCACAGTTCAGTCCTTGAGCTCTCTATGCGCTGCGTTCTCGACATAAATAAAACTCGATACATTTCACTACTAATAAATGGCACTCTCAAAACTGACAAGAATATAAATCGCTGTATTTAATTTACACCTCGCAATAGCAAATTCCTTGACACAAATTTGCGTCAAACATCTCATAGACTACACTTTTTAAAGCTACGCGAAGCAGGCTTGACTTTGGAGGCCTGGCTGACGAATTTGGTAATGGGTAACGAGTTCAAGTCTCTGTCCTCGATCGGTAGCCATTTACACTCGATCTTCGCGCTCGCCTGAATCGGAAGAATCGTGAATTTCATCAACAGCGTGTTACGCAATTGAAGGAAACTAACGGTTTCCAGGACGGTTCCTTTGTGGTCCATTTTGCAGATGATGTATTTAAAGAAGGCGGTGTGCTGTTTGTCGCCGATGAAGAACGTCCTCTCCCGATGATGCCGGACCAAGTAAATATCCGTGGTATCCGCCATGAATACTCCGGTGATCAGACCGAACCAGTCAGTATGAGACAACTCTGAAGAGAAGGAAGAACAACGTGCATTTTAATGTTCCATGAAGAAAAAAGCTTTGATATACTTGATGCTTTCCTCGATCGTGTTAGCGGATCTTGTCTGTGTGCGGGAGCAGAATGATCGAGCCTCTATTATCTATAATTTCGTTGATTCGGAGAAAGTCTGACCCGAGTTTATCTTATTCGTACGAGGGTACTGTTATTTATACCATCGTGGATCGACCGATCTATGGTCACGTCTCCCTCGACCGACATATCTGGTGGCTTCTCCAAGAAGAAGGCGTCGTAGGCTCTGAACCTCATACTGTGTTTCGAGTTTTCTAGAACAACCTTAAATAACATCGGACAACTTTGTTCTTGTTATAAATTTAAAGAAAATATCTGTCGACATTCCGTAACATTCTATTCCATTTTATTCTATTTCTAAAAATTTAAAGAATCGTGATTACTTTATAGTTCACGTGATCGCCGGTCGTTTTAATGGCTGGAAGTTCTTTGTCCAGCCATCTGCGGTCCGTTTTCCCAGGATTTAAAAAGTCCTGAATGGGACCAAGGATTTTCAGCTGCGGAGCAGTACAGAAACACTGTACCTGTGGTATATTTGTAATCAGAAAATAATTAGATCACAAAAGCGAGTATGTTAATAGTTCTGTAAACGTCACGTCGGAAGTTTCCTGGACAAAGATGGAACCGAATTGATAGGCATATGTGTCGACGAGATAAGGGACGTGCGAATACTCTGGACCACAGATGTTCTCCGCTGCGATGGTACCAAGGTACTCCCAGCCCTTGACTATGCTCAAAGTTTTGGAAACGTGTACCTTCATCTTCTTCCTGTATATTGTCATGTTAATGTCGTCCGCCATCTTGATGTCTGTACGTACAGATTGCTGTCAATCCTTCTCGCGAAACGTCAAACGATGTAACAGGTTATTTGCATTACCTGTTCTAAGATGACGCTGTAGTTGCGGGAAATTAGAATATTAATCAAATTATCCACAGCTGAATTAATTTCTCTCCTTTTCTAACCTCTTTCGATGAAATCACCGATGTAACAGACGGACCACCAATTAGGTTATCTAGGAACCGATTCGAAAGAAATTCTCCATCATTGGAGAACAGATAATATCCATAAAATTTGCCACGTTCGAAATGTTCAACATATCGCGATCCTGAGTCGCAGATTAGACATTAAAACGTATGGAGCATTCGTTATAGAACGAAGTTTATACGACACGACAGAAAGTTGGCCAAGAATTCGGCTGCGCCACGAATGGCTCCCAAATCGAATCAAGCGATATTGGGGGAAGCGATCGATCACTCGACTTGTCCTTTTGGTCGGCACAAGTACATCGGTCCGGCCATTTGTAATCATTAGCGCCATGGTGCCGTTGGCACAAGCGTCTTATTATGTCATTTCATTTCGTTCGTTTTCTTTCTGTCTTCTCCTCCTTCTCTCGAGTACGCGTCATCGTGTGTAGGCACAAGCGTGTTTGCTATTGTCGCCATCGTGCGCGATGATGAATCTAAACACGGACACCCGTCGAACGATCGAACAGTCGAATTAATCTGACCCATTCTTCCAACGGACGCTTGACACCTTCCTTTAATTAACCCCATCCCTGTCAATTTCATTTTTAGAAAGCCTTTATTATCTCTTTGATGAATTCACATTTTTCACGGTGCAATATTTCGGAGTACAAACTTTGATTTATTTCAAAATATTTCAAATATTTATTGAAATGTAATTATTATTTTATTAATATATATATATATTTAATATTTTATTATATACATAATAAAATATTTTTATAAAGTATGTGTCTCAGGTAATAACCTGTTTATATTTCGGTAACTTCGTACATTTAACAAAGACAAACTAAATCCTCCTAGTTACGCCCGCACGAACGCCGTAACTTATTCCGCTGCTATTCCACATTCCCATAGCGAATTAAACGAAACGATTCAGCCAGTTCGAGTCACTTAATTTCCATAATCATTATCGGCTTCATAATTACCGCGATACCGCGTAAATTAACAAAATTGCAGACGATCGTGTAATTCCGTGTATACTGCAACGTTGTTAGGTGTACAACTCGCACGGTAGTAAAATGGTCTACAGTATCGAACTACGGAAAGATATTTAATTCCCGGAATGCAATAAACCGGCTAATATGTGGATCCACGGTGCACAGACGCAAGGCTGAAATTAGCGTCGCGACCCCCCTGAGATTTCGCCAATTTACGCGTTCCTATGCCCCGATGCAATTAAAAGAAACACCGCGGGGCTTGTTTCTCGCGCGAAACCACCTTGCAGAACGAATGAAACAAGATTTGCTAGAGGACGCTGCACCATTTACCAGACTTCGTTTACGAAAATGTTCCTACTATGAAATTATCCTCGACTCGTTGTTTGTTAACTTTCCAACCGCTTATTAGCATAAGGTGTACGGAGGAGGAGTAGTTAAGACGTAAACAGGCAATAGTTTAACACGTGCTGTGACTTAGGCTGTTAATTGGAACACTTGGAACGATATTAATGTATCCGCACCTGTTAAGTACGCCTACTATTCTCGTGTTCTTTGGAAAGAATGCAAGGTTAAGGATTATAGTTGTAATTTTATTAGTCTAGTTCTTACACGACTTTACTCCGGCCGTCACAGGATCTCAGCCAATAACGAGCGTATAATTTGCACAGCTTCCAATAACCCATTAATAAGAAAGTCTGTGGATTTACGGTTTTTCAGAGGACAAAGGCGTATCGAATACAAATTTCCTCGGAAATTTATTTCTCCATTCGCGAAGCTAAACGTTATAATTTATATCTCATTTTTCCCACGCAAGATTACCATATCTCCCACGCGAGACTCTTTCAAATTTCTCCTTTGAATCGTCCCTAAAATACCTCGGCACGCAACCGCGTGCATCCGTACAAAGACATCAAATAAATCCAGGTTTCACCTTGCTACGTTCGTTTCACCGCTACAATCGCAACTTTGTCTTCTCGAACTCGCAGATAGATTAAAATGACGATTATCAGGGGGTCGGCGGTAGCATCGGTAAGACGGGTGCACGAGCCAACGGAGCCGAGCCTTAAATTTCCAGGCTGGCAAATTGAAACGGGCCCGGGCCGCATCGCGATATTGCTTATGGTACAAATTTAATAAGGCGCCCGCTGGGGCCCCCAGTTACCATGCTAATATCATCCACCATCGAGCGAACAGCTTCTCCACCTGACACCGTGGGCCTGGAACGGAGAAAACGAGACGGCTGGAAAAGGGGCCAAGTAAGCCGGCCAACCAAAAGGAAAAGAAACACGGGTAGAAACGACAACGACGAGGATGACCACGAGAAACGAGAGAGTCGCTGGAGCACGAACAGAGAGACTCGTAACCCGTAATGTTATGGCACTGCCCACCGCGAGGGGGGACTCTAAAGGGCCCTCGTGCCGGGGTCTTTAGTGCCAAATTGGTTATGCGAACGCTTTACGACACGGCTCGCCGATATTAGCCGAATGAATTACATAAATTATCCGCAGCGTTACGACGACGACTCTGACGAGAAAAAAACGGCGGAAGGGAAGCTGTGGCGATTTTTCTCTCTCAACTATTAAGTTATTCCCTGATACCGTATTCTACAAGCTTATATTTCTATTCTAATTTGAAGCTGGAGAAAGTTATAGACTGACTTGGTGTTAGGTTACGTTTCAGTCACACTTGCTGTTTGAACAAGTTTGATTTTAAAAATTTTTATCTACTGTTCTGACATTAGGAAGCGAGTCATCTGGTATCCCTAAATAGGCTCAGGGTCCTCAGTGCTCAAGGTGCTTGCATAGACAAGCTCGCATAGACAAGCTTGCAAAATCTCTAAGTTGAAAATCGATTCGAAGAAAGGCTCGCAATTATGAAAACCACGAGGTTCGGAAATTTTATAGGGCAGTGTCTACACGTCGCATGCGGTCCGATCTCATAGCCGTCATTTTATCATCCCGCGGAGTCTTGCGGGGTACCTACCGCATGGCTCCGCTCGGCTC